ATCTCCATAGATTTCTCTCTTAGAGGCATCACCAGTTCTGGTGGCAATCTGTCCCATTGGTGAGCAGTTAGGAAACACTTTGTTGTGGCCTGGCAGCAGAGTCGGACAGTGAGGAGGTTGGGGAGGAACCTGGGCCAGTCCCGGAGTCTGAGGAAGGCTCTGCGTAGGAGGCAGAGATGGGGCCAGGGCCATCCGACCGTTATCAGCTCCCTTTGGAGTTGGAGATCAATGGGGCAGAAGAACAGCTGGAGCCTGTTCCCAGGGTGCGCATGGGCAAAGCTGCCAGAAGAAGGGAACAGCTGAGGAACAAGGGTCGACTTGGGAGTAAAGCCACAGGTGGACTGTGAATGGCCCCTCCCATTAGGAATAAAAAGGAGCCAAAAGGGAGTGGGGTTTGAATTGAACAATTAGTTCAATTCATTAGGGTGAAGATCTGTTCCTGACTTCTTGCCAAGTATTGTCTGCTACAGTGTGGCGTTTGAAAGATATCGGCCTGGCAGCTCTCCAAGCCTGAGAAAGGTCTGTAAGTTGTGAAATCTCATGAAAGGCTGTTGGCCGGGACTTTGCTGGAGAGGAAATTCACTGTAAACTCAATAAAAGGGGTTTTATCGGGACGAGGAGTCGGCTTCATGCTGTTGGGGCGGGGGGAACCTAGGTCAGAACACACTTCCTGATGTCAGTCTGAAGTCTGCTTGTTTTTAAAATTATTGAAATCATTTGCTGACCGGTCTGCACTTTGACCCTCTTTCATAAGGCCCTGAAGCCACCAGGAGAGGGGGGTGGGACTCTATCAAGGGGGGAACCCTATTGAGTGGTTGTTGTGATTGATGGGGGGGGGGGGGAGATTGTATTTAGTCTGTGTATATTGGGTTTTTATTTTTTGTAAGCTGCCTAGAGCAGGGGTCTCCAACCTTGGCCACTTTAAGCCTGGGGGACTTCAACTCCCAGAATTCCCCAGCCAGCACATACACATACATACATTATATACCCATACATATATATATACATACACAAATATATGGTAATGTATAAACAAATATGATAACATCAATCATAACATATATTATCTTCCATTATAGTATTGATAATATAACTGTCAGAAATATTTACTCATCTGTTTTTCTTTCTCCTATAAACCATATTTCACCTAATTCCACTCCTCTAACCTCAATATCTGTCATTTAACCATTTATAGAACAGTTTTCATGAAATAGTCCAAATCATCTTTTCCTTTAATTTTTTAGGGTTAGCCTATCCATCTCTGCACATTCTAGAATTTTTAAAATTATAATACCGTCTGCAGAGGTTTCTGGGTTTTTCCAACATTGTGCCTATGCGGTCCTAGCTGCTGTTAGGATGTGTGGAACCAAATATGCGTCACCCTTATTGTAATTTCCTGGAATCGTGCCCAATAAAAATGTCTCAGGTTTCAGATCTATTTGTTGTCTGATCATATTTTCAAGCCATGTTTGCATTTTCTTCCGGTATTTTTTTGGCTTTTGGGGCATCTCCAACTCTTCCAACCCTGCTTATTCAGCTAAGTTGGGTGAACTTCAACTCCCAGAATTCCCCATCCCTTCTACCCAAATTAAAATGACCAAGGTGGGGAGGCTCCTGCGTTTGTGGAACTCTTATTGTGATTCAATTGGTGCTTTGTGTGAATGTGTGTTCTTCCTCTCCATCGCCTCAGGCCAGCTTGTCCTACCCAAAGCGAAATAACCTCCTTTTGACCTCCCAGGTGGAGCTTCTCCCAGCCAGCCATCAATGGCCATTGATAGCCCCTATTAGCGGCCTTTTTGTGTCCTTCTCTGGTGCTTAGCAGAAGAAAGGAAGGTAGTAGCTCAGCAGGGCAATCTACAAACAATGCAGCTCCAAAGAGGGGGCGGGTGAGGTCCAATAGTCAACCCCCTTCTGCACTTCCTTCTCTTCCTGGAGGGGACCCCTCCTCCAACTTACACAGAATGGAGGCTTTGCTTGCTACACAGTGGGGCTTCCTTGAGTAGGGCTGCCTTCCCTGGAGCTCCATTCACCGTGCTCCTGGATTTTGTGGGGGAGGGGGAGATCTTTCAGACCAATCCAGGGTACAAGTTGAGGCTACGTTCAAGATCCAGCAGCACATTGATGTATCTTATTCATTACTGCTAGATCTATGGGTGTCATGGTCAGTTTCCAGTTTTGAGCAAGAGAAATTCTTGCAGCGGTTATAATATGTAATATTAGATTTTGGTGTTTCTTATTCCATGTCGGTTCTAAGCGTAGCTAGCAGAAAGATCTCTGGTTTGAACTCGATCTTTTGTTTTGTTAACTCCTCTAACCACGCTTGAATGTTGAGCCAGTACTTTGGTACTTTTCGGGGTGAAGTCCACATCTCTTAAAGCTGCCAAGTTGGAAGACCCCCTGCATTATAAAAAGTGGCATTAACATTTCATGTGATCTTGATTCTGTGGCTCTGTTAATGCAGCCTCTAGGATTATGTTGGCTTTTTTGTTTGTTTTTTGGCAGCTGCAGCACACCTCTGGCTCCGATTTAAGGAAGCGAGGCCTTCCAGTGATAAATTGTTCTCAACCATCAGGAAATTCTCCTTGATTCTCCTTTGATTCTCTCAATTGCTTCTTGTCCTTCCCTTGGGTGCTTGGGGAAATATCTTCACCCCCCTTTTCTTTGTGGCAGCCCCCCAAATATTAGAAGGCTGCTATCATGTCTCCCCGGGTCCTTCTCTTCACTAGACTAGCTGTGCCCAGTTCCTGCAACCCAAGCTACCTGTTGGTTTAAGGCAGGGGTGTCCAGCAAAGCTGGCTGAGGAATTCTGGGAGTTGAAGTCCACAAGTCTTAAAGTTGCCAAGGTTGGACACCCCTGGTTTAAGGAGAAGGCCAAGGGTTGGCCATATTTTTCCTGTTTCAGGTGGCTGAAGAGAAGCAATTTCTCCAGCCTGCCCCCAACCTCCCCCACCTGGCTTTTAGATGGGAACTGATAAAAAAAAAAAGCCCTGGAAGAGCTGTCTGGAGAGGGAGGGGCCCTCTTGAAGACACAATGTTATCTCAAGGGTGGAGGCAAGGGAAGGAAACAGCTCAGGAGCCCCCCAGATCTTAGCCAGGTGTGGGAAGCAAGACCTGGGACTCGATCCCGCAGGGCTCTTGTGATAGAAAAGAATTCTTTCTTGGCCAAGTGCGATTGGACACACCAGGTATTTGTCATTTGCAAGAGGGAATTTGTAAGCGAGGAAAGCCGTCTATAAAGGGCCTATCACACTCCCATACACACACACAAATACACACACACACAGCAGTGCCTGGGATGGACAGGCCTGTGGCCAGAGGTCCGCACAGACCGGCAATAAGCTGGCCCCAGCTCAGCATCATGGGCTCTGCTGCACATCTTCTGGGTGAAGGTCCAATGGTGATTCTCCACCGTCCACCTCCACCTCCATCCAGGTACTTTTGCCCCCTCACTCCCCAAAGGCAACTGGAATTTCTTGGGTTTTTATTTTTCTCTTTGAAAAAAAGGTTTGGTTTCTGATCCAAGAAGCTTCGGGACTTCTCCAGCACTGGAGCAGCTTCTTGGACGAGATGGTGATATTGAACTTAAGTCTGGGTCATGAAACGTCTGCAGGAAAACCACCATTTATTTCCTTCCTTCCTTCCTTCCTTCCTTCCTTCCTTCCTTCCTTCCCTTCCCTTCCCTTCCCTTCCCTTCCCTTCCCTTCCCTTCCCTCTCCTTTCTCTCTGCAAACCCTGCTAGCAATGATGTTAACCTAGTTTAAATCATGAAATGTGCAAGGAAACCAGGTTAAACTAGGTTAAACCAGGTTAAACTCAGAGAGCACCCAGGACCCCACAGTCCTTCCTTCCCTCCCTCCCTTTCCTTCCTTCCTCTCTGCAAACCCCGCTCCCTGCTAGCAATGGTGTTTAACCTAGTTTGGGCCATGTAAGGTCTGCAAGAAACCACCCAGCTCAGAGAGCCCCAAAGGTCCCCCAGTTCTTTCTTTCTTTCCTTCCTTCTTTCTTTCTTTCTTTCTTTCCTTCCTTCCTTCCTTCCTTCCCCCAGCACTGATGATGTTCCCTAATTGGGTTATGAAACATCTGCAAGAAAACCACCCAGCTCAGAGAGTCCCAAAGATCCCCCAGTTCCCTTCCTTCCTTCCTTCCTTCCTTCCTTCCTTCCTTCCTTCCTTCCTTCCTTCCTTCCTTCCTTCCTTCCTTCCTTCCCTTCCCTTCCCTTCCCTTCCCTTCCCTTTCTCTCTGCAAACCCAACTCCCTGCTGGCAATGATGATGTTAACCTAGTTTCAACCATGAAATGTGCAAGGAAACCAGGTTAAACTAGGTTAAACCAGGTTAAACTCAGAGAGCACCAAAGACCCCACAGTCCTTCCTTCCCTCCCTCCCTTTCCTTCCTTCCTCTCTGCAAACCCCGCTCCCTGCTAGCAATGGTGTTTAACCTAGTTTGGGCCATGTAAGGTCTGCAAGAAACCACCATGCTCAGGGAGCACCAAGGATTCCCCCCAAAGGCCAAGGGCGTTCTTATGCACCCCACTTTTTCTCTGAACCCGGGAAGGCCAAAGAGCCAGGCTCTCAAAGAAGTGGAAAGGCTTGGGTGGGGGGGGGGTTGGACTAGATGACCTATAAGGTCCCTTCCAACTCTGATTATCTGTTATTAGGAGGACTCTCTGCGAGGAGAGCCCCCTCCCCCATCTCCCCACCCCCAGGGCCAAACCTGGGCCACTTTGGGGGGGGGGTTTGAGGCGGGGGAGGCCACTTCCTGGCGGTGACCTGCCGCCCACTAATCCACAGCCTAGGGCGGTGGGCGCTGGGCTTTGGAGTTTCTCATTGGCTCTGCGGGGTGTGTGGGGGGGAGGGGGAGGCCACCCCGCCCCTCGGCGCCTGGAGGAGCCGCCCGGTCTGCCCCATCAGCATGAGAAAGCCGCCCCCTCGCCCGCCCCCCCGCCCATTATAACCCCCCGCCCGACGGGGCGGCGGCGCTCTCCAGCCGGACAGGGGAACCATGCAGGACGGCGACGGGGCCAGTCCTCCGGCCGGGCGACGGGGCAAGCGTAGGGCCCGGGGCTCCCCGGAGCCGCCGCCCCCGCGCCCCCGGCCCAAGAAGCGCTACAGCCGCCACGCCAAGCCCCCCTACAGCTACCTGGCCATGATCGCCCTGGTCATCACGGCCGCCCCGGGGAAGAAGCTGAAGCTCGCCCAGGTGAGCGGGACCCCCGAGGGACCCTCCCTGCCTGCCTTCCAGGGGAGGCTCGAGGGGGCGGGCAGCCGCTTTGCCGCCCCCCCCCCCAGGGCTGCCTCGCTTAGCGGCCGCTGGGGATGTCGGAAGGGACCTGCTGCGGCCGCATCCTGGACCGCGCCTCGCCCAGCCGTCCGCCCTCCCTTCACTGGCCATATGGCAAGAGTTGGAAGAGACCTTGGAGGGTCATCTAATCCAACCCCCTGTTCCCGCTCGGCTTTCGGCCGTCGAGGCTCGCCGGCGCCGCTCCTCCGCGCTTCCAGCCTCCCTCCCCCACCCCCGGCGCTTTGGGGAGGGGGGCGTCCCAGGCTGGAAAAGGGGCAGGGGGGGGGCTTCCCCGGGGGGCCGCCGGGGGGCCCGGGCCCCCCCCCCCCCCCGACGGCTCCGTCCGCTTGGTTGTTTCTTGATAGAACTTTCTTGAAACGCCGCTTCTTCTCGCCCTCGCGACGGACGGAAGGCGCGGGCGGGGAAGGCAGCGGCCTTGGCTCCGCTTTTCTCTCCCTCCCCTCCCCCCCCCGCCGGGAATCCTAGGGTTGGAAAGGGACCCTGGAGGTGGTCTAGCCCACCCCCCCCCCCCCCCCTCAAGCAGGAGACCCTACCACCGCAGCGGTCTCCTCCAACCTTGGCCATTTTGAAGACTTGTGGGCTTCAACTCCCAGAGTCCCTCAGCCATCCTAGGGTTGGAAGGGACCCCAGAGGTCCTCTAGCCAACCCCCTACTCAAAACAGGAGACCCTACACCAGCGGTGGCCACTTTTTAAGACTTGTGGACTTCAACTCCCACAATTCCACCGGTCTTAAAAGTGGCTAAGGTTGGAGACCCCTGCCCTACACCATGCTGGCTGGCACAGACGAGGATTGGGCCCTTGTCTCAGTGGAGAAGGGGGCAACCTGGAGCCCCAGAGGGCCACGGGGGGGGGGCATCCCTGCCCAGCCAGCAGTTCTAATGCAGGGGGGGCTTTTTTCTCCCCTCCCCCCCTTTTCTCTCTTTCAGATTACCCGCCAGATTGGTGTGTTTTTCCCATTCTTCCGAGACAGTTACCAAGGGTGGAAGGATTCCATCAGGCACAATCTCTCTGCCAATGACTGCTTCAGGATGGTAACCAGGCATTCTGGGAGGGTGACGGGCGGGTGCTGGGTGGGAAAGGGGCCTTCCTCTTCAGAGAGGCTCTTCTCAGCCAGGTGGGCTCCCCTGCTGGGGAGGGGCATCTTTTGGGACTTCTGGGGAGGGGCATCTTTTCCAACACCTCTAGAGAGGCTTTCCTGGGAAGGCTTCCATCCAGCAGTTGGTGTTTCTGGATCTCGGGAAAGTTAAGGTTGGGTAGACTTCAGTTCCCAGAATTCCCTGTTCAACTCTTCAGCTTTGCTGGCTGGGGAATTCTGGGAGTTGAGTCCACCCATCCAGGCACGTTCCTGAGATCCAGAAGGAAGGCTCTAGATTGGGGGGGTCTCCAACCTTGGCAGCTTTAAGACTTGTGGACTTCAACTCCCAGAATTCCCCAGCCAGCAAAGCTGAAGAGTTGAACAGGGAATTCTGGGAACTGAAGTCCACCCAAAAACTTTCCCGAGATCCGGCAAAGCTGGCTGGGGAATTCTGGGAGTTGAAGTCCTCCTAGCTTAAAGTGGCCAAGGTTGGAGACCCCTGCCCTAGATACTCTGGATTTCCAATCCCATCCTTCTTCAGCTAGCTCAGAGGTCTCCAAACTTGGCCACTTTAAGACTTCAGCTCCCAGAAACCCAAAAACTTTCCCGAGATCCGGCAAAGCTGGCTGGAGAATTCTGAGAGTTGAAATCCACAAGCCTTAAAGTGGCTAAGTTTGGGGAACCCTTGAGCCTAGAGTAAGAACCTGGGGGGGGGGCTGCCTCTCACAGAGACCATGTCAACTCATAAAATATTTCTAGGGTCTTTTCAAAGTTGCCAACAGAAAGGGAAGAGGGGGAGCAGTGGGGCAGCTTGCAAACCGAAAGTGCATTCCATAAATGTTTTCAAAGATAGTCACTAGGTGACTGAAGTTTCCGCCTTGCAAATATCTAACTGCAGAGCATGATGGATGACTCTTGGCTATGGAGTTGTCCCATTGGAGAATATGAATTATGATACAGCCAGGGGGTGGGGGAAAAAATCAGGGTCAAGGGGAGCAATGAATGATGGGCCTCTAGAGAGTCGGCTGCACCCAGGCGGTGCCAGCATGTTTACTCCTAATAAATCTTTAAGTTTTGGAAGTCTTAAAGTTCGAGACTCAGGATTTAAATGGGGGGGGGGGGAACTGCCGGAGCCCTGACAGACCCTTCCCACCCCTCCCCCAGGTGCTGAAGGATCCGTCCAAACCCAAAGGGAAGGGGAACTACTGGACGGTAGACGTGGAACGGATCCCTGCCGAAGCCCTGAAGCTGCAGAACACGGCCATCTCCCGCCAAGGGGAAGTGACTTTCGCCCCCGACCTCAGCCCCTTCGTGCTGCAGGGCCATCCCTACGTGCCTCCCGGTGGCGCTGCTGCTGCTCCGGACCCCCAGACGCCCCTCCCAGACGAAGCCCACCACCTCACGGAAGAGGAGAGCCCCAAGCAGCCACCCTGCAAGGCGGCCTTCACCATCAGCGCTCTGCTGAAGCCACCGAGCGAAGATGGCGGCACTGAAGCCCGCCCCCCGAGCATGGACGGAGCCTCCGTCGGCCACCTCCACCCTCCTCCTCCTCCTCCTCCTCTCGTGGAGGGTGGCCAAGGGCCCCCCGCCAACCCTCCCCAGCTGCCCCCCGCCTGCTGCACAGACTGTTTCCAGGTGCCCCTGTGGCACCCACATGGCACTTCGTCCCTGGCTGGGGGGCCCTTACCCCTGCCGACTTTCCTCACCATCCCAGCCTCGCTCAGCCTGCCCTGTTGCACTTTAGGGCCCGCTCCCTACGCCGGTTCTCCTTGCTGGAACTTGGTGACGGGCCCCTGCCCACCCCACCCGTACCCAGGCCTCCCCCCCGGCCCGGTGGAAGTCCAGCAAGCTGGCCACCGGCCGGACGCCTCCTGGCTAGCAACCCCTCTGCCTTGGGTAGTCCCCTTCCAACCTCTGCCCCCTCACCATTACCCTTTCTGAGGGGGGGTGTCCCTATTAGAGGGAGGGGCTGGGCAGATATTGCCCTGAATTGGAAGTGCACAAACCCCCTAATTTATTTTAATTCTTGTTATGCCACAACTTCACAAGGTGGCTTTTTTTTTTGGGGGGGGGGCTCCCGTCCCTGGTGGGGAGGGGGCTCCCCTTTCAATGGTTTTCCATGCCTGCACATAGAAACTTTTTATCACTGTCATCGTGGCGGCCGTTCACAAAGCCCACTATCCACGTCCTGGCCATGGCCCATGCTTTGCTCCGAAGGCACCTTGTTCCTGGGGGGGGGGGGGCGCATTTTATAGCTGGTGGTTTGCAGTTCCGGTTGCAAGGATCGGCTTTGGATGGTGGGTGATTCCTGCCCGGTTTTCAAGGGCATGTTGATAACGTTTATTTAAATTAATAAACATTTTGTATTTCAAACACTGTTGCTCCCTTGTTTGGTTTTTCTTCTCACTTCTTACAGGGTGCGCTTCAGCCAGAGTGTCATTCCGTAATCTCTCTCAAGGTTGGGATCTGATATCGGGTGAAGCCACGATAGGGGTGAGGGGTCCTTGGGGGTCTCTGAGCTTTTGAGGGTTTTCTTGCAGATGTTTCATGACCCAACTAGGTAACTTTGTCAGTGTTAGAAGGGGGGGTGGGTGAAGAGGAGCAGAAGAGAGAGGAGGAGGAATAATCGAGAAATAGGACAGGGAGGGAGGGGGAACTATGGGGTCCTTGGTACTCCTGGAGCTTGGTGGTTTTCTTGCGGGCGTTTTATGACCCGACTAGGGAACATCATCAGTGCTGGAAAGGAGTGGGGTTTTAGGAATGGTAGTGGTGATAATATAGGAGAGGAGCAGAACTGTGGGGTCCTTGGTGGTCTCTGAGCTTGGTGGCTTTTTTGCAGACTTTTCATGACCCAACTAGGTAGCATCATCAGTGCTGGCAGGTAGAGGGGTTTGCAGGGAGGAGCAGAACTGTGGGGTCCTTGGTGGTCTCTGAGCTTGGTGTGGTTTTCTTGCAGACGTTTCATGACCCAATTGGGTAACATCATCAGTGGTAGAAGAGAGTGGGGTTTGTGGGGAGGAGGAGGAGGACAGGAGGGGCCGAAAGGTCCCTGTTGCTCTCTGAGCTGGGTGATTTTCTTGCAGACGTTTCATGACCCAACTAGGGAACATCATCAGGGATCAACTAGTTTGGGTCATGAAACCTCTACAAGCTCTACAAGATTATGCACCAAAATGGAAGGACACTTTGATCCTCACAATGGATGAAGGGCTGCAAAAGTTGACTAGTTAGCAGAGATGCTAAATGGAACTGCTTTGATACAAGG